ACCGTTACACGCGCACTTTGGAGTGGGGAGAAGCGCTCCGGGCGATTTAAAGGGCCAGCGCGCCGCGCTCCAATGTTCCAAACACTCGCGTCTTCGAATCACGTGCGAACGAACGAGATAGCGTGCGAGCGCTTTCTTCTTGCGCAAGAACTGCAATAAAATTGTTGATACGACTGTCAAAACGATCGAATGGAGAGCGAGACAAGTTCACAGTTGTTGTTGGCACACGGCATCATGCACGTTATTTGGCACATGTACACACATACTCACGACACCCGCAACGTCACAGTGAGTACGACGGATACGACGCGTTTCATCTGAAAAGGCGCGCTCATAAGTTCATTTAACTACGATGACACTCGACGCGAAATGACGCGATCGCCAAGCACTGTCGCAACAAGACACGATCGGCATACCTCTTCCTATTCCTTTCTCGGTCGCTGTTTAAATTTCTGCCCTTCCTTTGCGTCACGAGCACATTTCGCTTCGTACTTGATCCTCGTCGTAGTTATCTTTCTCGTGAGTGATGTCAGTACGCTGCCTCACTTGTACGTCGTATCGTGTCCACCTGTAAACCGAGTTTTGTTTACTAATCTGTTGCAATCAACCATTTCAGCGGACTGACCGCTCGCGCGTCGCGATCGCGCACAGCGCAATACGGACCGCTGACAGCGGGGAGCATCGTCGTTCCGTCGAACGTACGATCGAACGATATTGTCACTCGCGGGAACAACAACGGCTGCGAAACGGGAGAACGCGAGTACGTTGCGGACACACACGTCGTCGTCGTTGTCGTCGACAGACACAGCCGGCTTGCGTATATTGTCGTCCGTATTCGCGCGTGTACGAAACACAAACCACCGCGCACACAGCATCCACGTTCCACCATGGGGGATCCGCGACCGACCGCGCCACCGCCGCGCCGAATCAGTCCGCCGGCGAAAGTAGTGCCGCGCGCCACCGAAACCGCGGCGAATCAGGACGGCGCGCGCGCGCCTTCGAATTTCGCCAACTATCCAGAAGCAACACAAACGTCGAATATCATCGCGATAACAACTGGGGACAAAGCTCAACAAGAATTGTCAAGTCCCGCGTGCGATCGAATGCTTGAGCTGTGTATTGAATTTGAACGAAATTATATGTGAATGTGCTGCTGCGAGATTGCAATATATCGCATTGCGATAAGTAATCAATATTTTTTTCGATATATCAATATGGCGCAGCAAAAAGTACGTCGGATTGGTTGCATTTGGATTGGTCTATTTCCTTATGCATCGTCTTATGGACAATCCATTTCCTTGTGCATATGCTTATGCGCCAATGCAACTTTGGCTGAATATACTTCACTTATTGTTAGTAGTCGTCAAATAAGTTAAATTTACACTAAGTAGAGCATTTCAATCCATGCTACATGAATTAATATAATTATAATAAAACAAACGAATTAACGCGCTGCAATGTGTAGCAAGATTTGTATGCTAGGAAGATTTATATTCTACAGCCTCAAATGTTTATTCTCCCAAACATAGTTATCTTTTTCTTTATATATCTTATAAAAAACATTAAAACTTGGAATATATCCATGTATTTATCTATCAATTATTTGGCATTCGTACGCACAGCAACCTAGCCTAAATTCGCTTCGGGAATATTACAAAATATTACCGACTTGCTTTAAATATAAGATCGCACGTCGCATTATAAAATATAACAAGATTATTACCGTTGCAAGGACACTGATGCTCGAGATTCCTTCGTCGCAAGGAATTGATCAAAGTCAACACAATTTCGTATGCTGATCCTCTGCACTGTGCCACGGTAACGTTCGGGAACGACGACAAACTTCATACCGACGCCGCGCGAGCGGCGGGCAAGTTGTGGCGCGCAGTGGCGCGCAGTTGCGGAAGTGACGTTACATGCAGCGCAATATGGCGGACGCTAGACAACGTAAACAGAACAGCAATCACGGCAGCTCGTATGTGGGTGAGTATTTCGCTTAATTTTCTTTCATTCCGCTGGGTACGAGGGATCAGCGAGAAGTCGCGCGACGTCAGGTGTTCGCGGGTTATCGTTGGAATTACGAAAAGGTGTGATTCATCGCGTCTCAGACGCGAACCAGCTGTGCGTGAGAGCGATCGTGCCGTGTCCATGCTTGCTGTTTGACACTTTGCTCGTGTTGATTCCTGCCGACTCGTTTTCCGAATTCCCGCTGGACTCCCTCATGCCCGTGGAATCTATTTCTCATTGCGATAAACCGTCATAACTGTGCAACACGTAAAAATGCAAATCATCGGTATGAAAGAGAAAGGTGCCGAGAGTGGGAAGGAGTGACGGAGACAGACGTCGCGTGAATTCGTGCGAAGGACGAGGTGTAGGTTGTGCAACTACGCCTCTATGTCGTGTGTAATTAAATGTTGGTATTTTGTGTCTCGAATCGATGCGTGGCATGGATCGGCGGGAATATCACGAGCAGCTTAGTTCATTCTCTCATAGAGGTTATAACCTGTTCGCGCATAAAGTAAACGCGGTAAAGTTGCATGGCTGGAAGTGTTGTCGACGTGAGTGCTTATAAATATCGTGCTTACACCAGAATCGTGCGCAATAAACGAATGAGAAATCCTGTCAAATAGACGATGACGTAGTTGTCGGAATACGATGTCTCCGATGTCTGCCGCCTTCTCGCGGCGAACATCAAAAGCGTCACGCAAGACCGAGGGAACTTCGAGCTCATTGCGTCGTGCGTACATTCGCGTGGCCTTGCGTTCGATTAGTCAGCAACAAGGTTAAACAATTGCATGGACTCGTCTTGTGGAAACATTACGTTGAACCGGTTACACGCGACGTGATTGCTCGCTCATCGTCACACGTGTAAAACACCGCCAAATGATGCGTTTGCTCAACACATTTTCGCCGAGTCAATGCAAGTTGTTGCACAGTGAGGTAATACATAAATGAGATAATATATCTCTACTAATGTTCTAACTATATATCGATTCAATGATACATAAGCGCCAGTAATATTTCGATGATGAAGCATGAAATTGACAAAAAGAAGCATTTTTTTGTATGTTTTTTTTTTTTCTTTTCACCTAATCGTAGGTTATGGTAAGCTCTATTAGATTGACGTAGGACATATATATGTATTGATTATAATCCACTATAGCTGACTATATTATTTGAAAAGAGAGAACAACAATGTGCAAAGACTTCTCTTTCTCCGTCAAGTATCTATTTCACGATTTCTATAAGAAAATTCTCTTCGACAACCAATGTGCATATAGCAGCTGACAATTCATATTTATAAAGTCTAAGTATTGAATTTCGGTGAATGGCCGTGCTGAATTGTTCGAATCGAGCCTAAGTACGACGAACATAATATAAAGTGAGAGCGGAACAAGGAAATCGACACGGTCAGTAATAAAATTGAAATGCATTGCATTCATTTTTTGTTTATCAAAGCATTGCGCCACAGCATTAATGTGTATGACTGGAGAAAATATCGCGTGCAAAAAAATACATAAAAATAGCGCATATATGTATGTCATACAAAATACATGAATGTTATTTCTTGAACTGACTTGAAAAAGGCAACCGTTTATCTTTATTTATTCCGCGAGATTTGTTTTACAAATTTATTATAACAACTTTAAAAACTAATGTCTAATGACCCATCTTTATTTTCACTTTGAGAACTTTAGATTGTAGAAAAATTGTTTATGCGATCACTCGTATTTATGTTTGATCGTTTAAATTAATTGTATTTAAATTAATCGCAAATGAATTATGAAAATTAATTATACAATTCTGACAGTGTAAAATCAATATAATTTAGTTACGTCACGCATTTGTTCAGTGGTATTACTTTATAGGATTAAAATTACTGTGGCGTTACATAATTCTATACTTTAAACAGTATTCTTGGATTTATTCACTTAAAAAAGGAGTTTTACGATCAGTATTTTACGTTAGAGAAGATGTATGTTTTTCTATCGCAAATATATTATCAGATTAATAGAAAACAAAAGCAAAGTGCGGAAAAGAAAGTGCTAGGCAGGTAAAATCAGATTCCAGGGTAGCTTGCTAGCGTTCGACTGATTTGATTTCTAGAATTAAAGATATCAAAGAACATATGTGTGGAGAGAAAAGAGGAGAACACGGGCTTATAACAAAGTTGCCTTTTATAGAATCGGCATATTGCTTTAATCCAGCAACGAGTCACATGGACGCGCCCGATATATGTTCGTTGGAGAATTAGCGAACGCGTGCATGCATGCGTTTTTTCCATATTGAGATACGCGAATAGCCTTTCTCTTTTCCTCGTGACGTCATTACGGTGACGCCTCGCACAGCAGGAAGTCGTAATATTATTCCGCATTAAATGAAATCCGTGCGGCACAATGTCGGATGGGAAAAGCGTGCGTCGGCACGCTCAAAGCACGATGCAACACGACACGCTGGTTACACGTACGAATGTACGTATTATACAAGCGAACACAAGCGCACATAGCTGTTCCGGGATTGGAAATGAGAGTCACATATTGGCGCACCTATTCAACCCGACGTAGCGCGTGTTTTATTGAATAGCATCGATAGCTCCGCTTGCCGCGCGCTACCGTGTATGCACGTCCGATGGAAACGAACGCCCGTCCCGCTTTCCCCGATAGTTTACGACGGTCCGGACGGTAACAACGCCTCACAATAAATTTCTGAGCCGGCCGCGATAAATTAGGCGGAAGTCCGGCGTTACACCGGCTCGCGCCCGAAGCTCCGAGACAATTCACCGAGTTAATTGAAGCTGATTCCCGCGGTACTTTGCCGTCCATTTACGGACGTGTTACCTTTTCCCTCGCTCGTAACTACGATGAAGCGTTATTTCTCTATAGACGTTAGCAAGACGCAGTCGAAGTTACGGTCGGATTTAGACGATGAGAAAAGTCTGCAGCGTGTGCTATAGCTTGATTCTATCAACTATGAACCAATCTCTATTTATATCATTCGTAGAAATATGAATACGTGCGATTATACAATTTTTTCTTTTTTCAACTTCTTATTTTCATTTTTTTTTTAATACTACACATACATAAACATGTAAATTAGAAAAAAATATTACGATACTGTTTACATCTGAGACGAAAGAAAGCTAATTTAAAAAATGATACAACAGACACGTATCGTATCGATGTATATTTTTCCTCCAAGCCAATAATTCACAAACTGTGACACAAAGTAAACTTGTATGAAGGATGTCAATTGGCTGACAAGAGGTCTGACAATCGAGCCAATATGAATACGTTCTTGGCACGTCAATACACATACATACATACTTAACATGTAAACTGCATATCTCCGCTCGAGCTGGATTCATCGAGCGTTCTCGCGTTTGTGCACTTCGGTAATTAGACTTGCATTATTCAGTCAGATGAATCGGAAGCCAATCGATCGTACATTATTAATCGCGATTCAGCGATACCGGCGAGAACATGGATTCTGTGCTTCTCGCGGAAGAGATAAACAACTTCTCGCGTGGGGATCAGTATTTAAGGATTTAGGATTTTTAACGTGGTCGACATGTGCTCGTCTAGATAAATAATTTTTATATCCTCTCGCGTGTGATAACGTCTCGTATTCAAAGTTCCAAATGGCGACTCGCGGGATCTGCGTCGTAAAATAAAAGAGCGAGCTTTGATACCAGCGGGATCAGTGTAATGTGTTTGTAGGCACAACTGACGTCGTAATCTCGGCGCTCTAAAGCACGATCGCGATAGCACTTTTGAGAGATAGCCGTATTTCTGTCGTGTTCTCTCGTAACTTGCGTAACAATGCGATCGGGTTAGCCGGAGTAATAAAAACAAGCGTAAATGCAATTGCACGTGACGACGAAACATATTTCTTTTTTTTATCGTGCGACACGGGAGACGATGTGTACGCAGTAACTTATCTCTCGGTAACTTTATAAAGTGCCGCCTTTAAAAGGGTTATTGATTTCTATGAGCGATGGCACGTGTATACGACGCGATTCAATTAGCTGGAAATTGCAATAAAACCTATCGTTTATCACGAGGTGCATTATAATATATCAACCTTCCATAATTAAACGCGATATGCGTTTAATCGATCGCAATTTTATGAAACTGTTAAAAAGTTTAAAAAACTATTCGTTTTTTTACACATAACTTATTGGAAAATAGGAAAGTCAAATATGAGGAATTATGTCGGCTTGAACGATTTGATTTACTAAACTTTCATCGATCGATTAATATTTGTAACGCGATATGATGGAGTAACATTTCGCATCGAAAGGTATCGCTCGTCTCGTATCTTATTTCATTTGGCGTAACGTTACCATGAAGATTTAAGGATCTGCCGACTGAAGCTTGCAAAATCGCGCGCGTAGAGGCGGAAGAACCTTTCGAGGCCGTTTTACAGTGCTCATAACTGAACTGCGTATGCCGCTGCATAAACTTCGGTAGTCGCGGTTACGCTTGCCGTATATGCGTGGATAGAAATATAAATAAACCCCATGCCAGATAGCGCCGCGGGCGAGATTAATGATAGCTGAGATGCCTGAAGGAGGCACAATAATCCTAACTCACTCGTTCATTTATACGCGATCTCTTATTTCTCCCTCTCCCTCTCTCTCTCTCTTTCTCTCTCTTTCTCTTTTTCACTCGGCAAATTCGTTCTTCCGTCCTGCTCGCATTTGGCTTTTCCTTCTTGCAATAAACTCTCATTTGTCATAAAACATTTGCCTCCGCGCAATATAGATGCTCCAGCGGTGGCAAGACGGTGTACGAGGGGATGTACTTTCTTAAAATAAATATCTTACGAAAGCACATCGTAATCCCGCATGCAACGCGCGCCGCGATCGTTAACTTCGCGCGTTTTACTGCCCGTGCAAACCGGATACCGATCTAAAATCCTTATTGGTGTAACCATTGACTTTGATTATGTTTGTTCGACTATGGCACCTCGTAAATCGGCAACACGGTTCACTGCCGATCACGTAAAGTAGAAGTGTAACTATTGAGGTGTACTGCAACGAACGAAGGGAGCTTTATTGTCGGACAGTTTAACCCTTTCGGTGAAAATAGATTTATTTGACTCTACGTGTGCTTTATTTCTCTTGTTGAATATATGGATGATTGACTGAATGTGATTTAAATAACAAAGATTTTGGTATCAATTGCTTTAAAGTATTGATGCATTTCGTAGAAATTATATATGAGAAGATTATTTCTTTTAATATGATTATTTAAAAGAATAATTTTCAAGTTTTTCGTAATATCTTATATTTTTTTAACTTGTGCCGATTTGCATTTGAAAGTAATTGCAAGGTCACAGTGCCAATATTTGCGACATATGGCGCGATCTTCTCAGTTGGCATCAGGGATGCAAATGTACGAAATTACTCATGTCATCCAGTTCTAAATTAAACCCAAGCTTCGTTATTTCTTCTACAACCTGCGCAAGGAAACCGACCACATATGTCATACATCGTGTCATAAATCCTCACAAAAAGCGACATATAAAACGATTCAAAGGTCATGAGCGTCCAAGGTTCACATGCATGACAATCAAAAAATAACACTACATGCAATGTTCAGACCGCGCTGTTTAATTTTTATGTTGCATCACTAATTACAGATTTTGCAATTCCATTTGACAACAACTGATTACGTGTTATATTTATTCTTTACAATTTTTCGGTGAGATTATTTAAATTTTAGTCATCTTTCTATTGCAAAAAGTTTAAGTTAATCAAAGAATTTATAAGCTATATATCGAAAATATTTAAAAATTTATATATTTTTTTATTAAATGATATTTTTTTTATAAATTATAATCAAATTTTCTCTGGCGTTACAGCTTGCTTTTATCTTTTATTATAATTTCTTCGTGAAATATTACTAAGATTGGTATATCGTGTAGATCGTTTTATGCACAGACTATGGAATTTTGCCAAAGCTCATTTTCTTATTTATATAAACATAAATAACAAATTAACTGAGATTTTGCAAATTATATTTAGTCATTAGATATCTAATATATTAATTATTAAATATTATTTTCCATACCAAATAATTTTATTCGGATATTTACATACGTAAGCCTTTAGATATAACAAAATATTTTATTTAAAAAGAAACTGTTCTGATGCGTCGCAATGAGCAAACAGCCAATTCTTTGCGGCATTAGTATTAAAATTCTTATAAACGCTAGTAGTGCAATTAAGTTTTTATGCTGCAACCTTCAAGCTTTATATTTGCACGTGTTACATAATTTTTCTCATTTTTCCTTATGTTTTTGCTTATTATTCTTGCTTCTACAGAGAATTAATTTTCATTAAGCGAATCAAGTCCGCTGATAGTTTATCATGTTTATCACACCTAGTAATGTCATTTAATAATAAAATATATATTTTATATTTTATATATATTTCATATTATATATTTATTATAAATAAGTAATTTTTATATTATATAAAATATAAAAAGGATAAATTGTTTTAATATATAAACTGTTTTCATATTTATATTTTTATTTTTTTAATAATTATGATCAATGCTCAACAACAAAACTTAGTGTTGTTTCTTAAATGAATCTTAAATGAATCTGGTTGTAGCCATTTAATTCTCTTTAATTAATCGCACTCGTTCTTTCTAATCAATTCTCATTAAATCATTCGTAATTCGAACAAGTTGGACTCGACAGTACGAAAAATAACATCAAAGTAACATTATTACATTCACATTTTTGGTAAAGAGCTTTTAAATTAATTACAAAAATTTAATTAATGATTCTAATTAATGATTAAAGAAGATATTGGAATAAATGTTAGAAAGAAAAGATATGTTTGCTATGTGTAAATGCAGTTTTATAAAAAATTCAAAGAAATATTGATCGATTTTCAACAAGAACAAATTTAAACTTTAAAAACTCGAAGTTATAATATCGATTTCTTTTTTATTAATAATAATGATAATAATTTTATATAAATTATAGAATATTTTTTGCACTATAGCGCAAAGACTATAAGTGACACGAATCTGCTTAACGTTGATACTTTCGGGCGCACGTATTACCTTGAAGAAAATCTGTTGCCGACCATATTCCCCACTACATGAATACGACGTTTCCGTGATCGCGTTAGTCGGTTTCTGTCGTGGCATCGTCACTCGTGGGATGCTGCCAACTCACAAAGTCCGCCGTCACGCGCGGCTCGAGAGTGGCTGACCGGGATATTTCTAGTCCGGCTCATTTTGCAGCTTAGTACCTGAATATCGCGTGTGCATGGTGCATCTATGCGGCGCAACCGAGTGTATAAATAAATTTTTCGCGCTTATTTCGATTTCTGTCGAATCGTGTGCGCATCGCCCGATCATTTGTGACGAATGTGAAAGCCGGAAGTATGGCCACTAGGAAGATTATAAGACCGAGACGGAAACGATCTGACGATCTTTCCGGGTCAAGGTGGTCAGAAATGTCGGACAAGCCGAAAGAACCGGCGAGGCCGCCAAGAACGAAGCAGCAGGCCGCGTATACGACGACGACTCATAATTCGAATTTTGAAAATATTACACAACATAGCGCCAGAGAAATGCAACAAACACCGAGTTAGTTGTCAAACAATTTTTTTGGAAATTGGTTTTATCAGTTGCTCAACATTCGGCGCTTGATTTGCCACAAGTTGCTTAAATCAATGTCTGCCAATTTTCTTTCTTCTAAAATAATCTTATTTTTACATAAATAATAATAAAAAACAGAAGATAGTTCCATTAATTAATCCTGACATTGACTAAACGTAGTATTCGAAATTCTGATTTCAGCCGAGAAGGCCCCGATGACGATCCTCGACGAAAACGTGAATCGTGTACCACGACAACAGCATAAGACAGTTGAAAACATGGGTGAGTTGCTTTTCTTAGTTAGCCAAATGTTCGTTCGACTATTCTTTTCAAATCAATTATTTATTCATTCGTAAATTTTTCCATTTATACCGCTCGTGAATCGTGTCGCTGATTATAGCCGCCGCTCGTGCTTGCTAAAAATGTACCGATTTCCTAGCGAATTTCGAAGCAACGACCGACTTCTTTTGCGCATCCGAAAGTCCCTACCTTTTTCTCTTATAAAATACTTTTCCTTTGTGTACGAAAGAAAGCCAACAAAAGCGGCCCCGTCGACTCGTCGAGAATTCTCGCTGGATCAGATTTTGCGACGATGTTCTCCGCGCGGCCGGCAGCTTTCTCGGGCATCGCTCAAGTTCTTCTTGCAATTCTTGCGAGAGGTTTGTCTTGAGTTTACAACTTCTCCGAATCGTTCGCGGCAAAAGCCACCTTGTTCTTTCGAATTCACATGAGTCTTCATAATATCTCGACCGCGTGTATTTCAAGCGTTATGCGAGAAGGAAGGGGAATACACAATGTGAAAGTTTATTATTAAATCGCGCGATATCTGGAATTTTCTTGAAAACTGCAAAACTGCTTCCTATTGCAACGCATGAATCAACGTGACACGAGTTTCCTGTTAAATATAATCATTCTGTTATATTATTACGATTAACATTTATCGTTAATAACAATTCAGTTGAATTTCTCGTTAATTACACATTGCAGCATTTGCTCCCTTTAAAAAGTTGCTCTAATTGAAACTTTATTTACACAAGAGATTTTCAAATATTGATTTGTTAACGTTTCGGGAAATTAATACGATGATTAATCTGCGGTTAATAACGCAAAGAGAAATACCTATGTACGGTAAATTTACACAAGCAAATGTGCTACACAAAATAAATAGTGAGTATAAAAAAATCTCGATGCTTCCGTTGATGATTCGTAATGACGCGCGTTATTCCTCTATTGCTCTGCCTTTATTCTTTTATTCTGACATTTTAATTAGATACCGATTCGCTCTTTTTCTCACCGTTTCATTGCAGCTGAGAAATTCGTCGCCCTGTATTTACGGCTGTAACGCGGTAATGATTCGTGCGATCGCGAGATTGTAGGGAAGACACTGTGGAGGTCGGATGGCGGCGTCAAAGATGACGCAAAGATCCGTCACGAAGGTAAAGACGTGGAGAGAAGGCTGTGTGTATGTGTATGTGAGAAAGAGAGATAGAGATAGAGAGAAAGAGAAAGAGAAACTGGCACTCGCGCGTGTATAATTGGCCGTTTGCTCGCAATAAGTAATCGCCGAAGGCTCTCCATTGGAGAGAATAATAGAGATAGAGGAAGAGAGAGAAAGAGACGTCACGTAAGACGGTGTTCGATCAATCTTGACAACTATTCGTAATTGAAGATGTCCGCTGTGTATTTGATCTTATTGAAATACGTTCGTAATTGAACGATGGATATCGATGTATTCCATGTACAATTCTTCACATGAGACTTGACTGTATGAATGTATGGAGTATTATTGAAGTAAATTGACTGAGAGAGAGAGAGAGAGAGAAGAATTCTTATAAATATATGATCTATAATTATTAAATGTATAATAAATTAGTGACACGATAACACACTTATTATTCACGAAATATATCCGCACACAGGAATGTAGATGTTTTAAAATAATTTGGAACAAAAACGAAATGATTGCTTGATATTTAGCAACTCTCTCTAGTAATACTCTCTAGTAACACTCGTATATAATTTGCTTAAGATCATTATAATACTTTTTGCTAAGAAACAAACATCATAAGTCATGCAAAATAACTGTTAATTATAAACATTAATTATAAACGTAATGGTGGTCGAGCATATAAATACGAAGCATTGAAAGAACATGAGCAAAGGTTGAGCATATCACACACGAACTATCCGTGATACTTTCAGTATGACACAGCATAAGATTCAATGCTAGTGAAAACATTGATGATGTGATTGCGAGATATGCTAATATAACTCAGTATATATAATCAAACTTCCGTTGAAGAATATTTCAAGATTCGCAGTACTTTAATCATAAGTTCTTTTTGATCAAGAAGAATATCACGGCATATTAATAATATAAAATTAATACAATGTATTCAGAGTTCTATCTAAAATATTGATATTAAACATAAGTTGGTCCATTTTTAAAATCTAAATTAAAAATTAAATTAAGATAAATTTAATTAAATTTATCACAGTTTATCAAAATAAAAATCTTATTTGACTTTCGAATAAACAAGAAGGTGTGATTAATGAAAAAAAAAACGCCTTTGTTGATTATCGTATCAAATTTCAATTCTCGTGATATCTCTTGATATCGCTATTAGATGTGATAAAAAAATTACCGTGTTACAGCCGTAACGATAAAAATGTGAAATCAGTTCTTGTCTTATACGGTGTAGCGCGCTTCGATAGTGGAAATCACTATCGTGCAATAAGAGTCATGAAGTGCTTTTGTGTTTTACTGGACGCGTATAGTTGTTTATTCCATCGTGTGCGTAGAAAAAGTCACAAGTGTGCCAAGAAAAGTAGTACTAATCGATAAATAGAAATCTTTGCGGTGATTTAGGACATTATTTTTATATATTTTATACAAAAATACTAATATTTTCTTGTTATGCGTGGTAAGAGGAAGAAACTGAATGACGATGTCTTCCTCGGCTTATTTCCCGACATGTATTTGTCGTATAATTATTACCCGTGATGCAAATAACGGTCAAACGATTTAACTTATTGCACTACAGAGAAATAATTTTAGAGGACAGAATTTCTTGTTTCTCTTTATTTTACTCGAAAACTTAATATACTATCTTGGTATAAAACGGTACTTTTCATGCTATTTTTCCGAATTTAAAGAAACTTACAGAAAAAGATTCAACTTTTTCCGGACTCGCGAGGAACCGCTTTAAGGAGAAATCTATTGATGCAATGATTACAAAATTGATCAAAAAAGAGATACACTAATAATGAGATTTAAAAAACTTTTCTCGCATAATGATATATTATCTTGTAATGTACAATTTAGATATTTGAAATGTCTGTGTCTCGGGCTTTTCTGAATATAAAGACAACTCTAACAGGCGCATAATTTCTCTTCCCAGTTGACGGAGTACGATTTTTCGACGATTTACGTTTAGCTTTCACGAGTCTCTCTGATCGGTCGATACGCCGCTCGCTTCGGCGGTTTAAATCCTCCATCGCTCTCACAGCTGATCCGAGTCACGTATCACGGGTCAACGCGTTAGACACGTAACCGGCGGCGGGTTAGTCTTGGACTGTTTGTTTTCATGCCGCGTGCAATAAATTACACCTCGCTTACGTGCTTCGCTAGTGTCAAGGCCTACATACATACACACGTATTAACTTCCTCATCATATCCTTCCTCTTGTCCTTTGAACAACAGGATATGAAGGCGAGACAACGAAATTGCAACGAACAAAGTGGTTCTTAATCCCAGTAGCCCAGCAAGTGTAATTTGCACCGTCTAACTCTTTAAAATTGAGGAAGTTTACAATATTCTCTCAAGATTACACCAAAATTTATTTATGATACATTATCATTAAATTTTAATTGGTGATATTGAATTATTATTGTTATATTTTGTATATATTTGTTTAATGCTAAGAAAACACGAAATAACTGTTATTTGCGATTAATAATAATATTATTATCACATCATTATAATATATCAATATTATGATTTTAATAATAAATAATATGAAACATTTACGCAAGTAATTGATGCACTGCTCTACATTTGTACTGCATGACTAGTATTTGTATTGATAAACGTTTACATTTTCTTATCGTTATTTAAATTGTTATGTATTATTAATATATTATTAGTATACAACTAAATAAATTTTATCGCTTAAAAAAAATCCAAATTAAATTTTTTTGCAGTATTGTTCATTATTATTATATTCTTTGTAATGAAAATGTTTCATGTGTCTGTTGCAGATTACCTAGGAATAAACGATCGAATAGAAACCATCACGTCGATGGATGCACAAGCGCACAAGGATATAACGGACGGTGGACGACCTGTCCAAGTGGTACTTGCCCATCCAGATCATACCTTCGAATTGGATGAAGAGGCTTTGTCAGAAATCCTTCTACATGATGACGTGAAAGATAGAAGTGTGGTTGTGGTATCTGTTGCAGGTGCCTTCAGAAAAGGCAAAAGTTTCCTTCTTGACTTTTTCCTTCGTTACATGAACAGCAAGGTAAGTGAGATAGAATTAGAAATTTGAGAATAGACATTTTGTTGCAATTCGTCAAAATTACAAAAGCGTGTCAACGTACAATGACAGACATTTACCAAATTGTTTATATCATTTCATGTTCATTTGTCGTCAATTGATGCGGAAACTGGATTTTGGATAACTAATGAATGATGTGATAAACAGTACACATTACATAGCAATACCGATGCTTGGTTGGGCTCCGAGGACGAGCCGCTGAGCGGTTTTTCATGGAGGGGCGGTTCCGAGAGGGACACCACAGGAATATTAATGTGGTCGAAAGTTTATCCCGCCACCTTGGCGAACGGTGAAAAGATCGCTGTGATTCTTATGGATACCCAAGGCGCTTTCGACAGTCAGTCGACGGTGCGGGACTGTGCGACAGTGTTCGCGTTGAGTACGATGTTATCCTCCGTACAAATATACAATCTATCACAAAATATCCAGGAGGATGATCTTCAACATCTACAGCTATTCACCGAGTACGGTAGACTGGCGTTAGAGAGCTCCGACAGCACTCCCTTCCAGAGACTACAATTCTTAATCAGAGACTGGGTTTATCCGTACGAGGCTGATTACGGCGCGGACGGCGGAAAAAAATTACTCGACAAGAGACTGGAGATCTCCGACAGGCAGCACCCCGAACTGCAGAGTTTGCGGAAGCACATCAAGTCCTGTTTTTCAGATATATCGTGTTTCCTCATGCCGCATCCCGGTCTCGAGATCGCGACAAATCCGAAATTCGATGGTAGATTATCCGAGATACAAACTGACTTCAAAAAACAATTAAAAGTGCTTATACCGATGATACTGGCGCCGGAAAATCTGGTGACCAAGAAAATCAACGGCCAGGTCGTAAAAGCGAAAGATCTATTGGAATATTTCAAGAGTTATATTAATCTTTACAAAGGAGATGAACTTCCTGAACCGAAGAGTATGCTTGTGGTACGTGTAATTTAGTGTTTTATGACTTATAATTTTTATCAGTGCTCCATTTCTTTTTTTGTGCAATTAAAACTAGTAATAAATCTCTATTCTCTTACTGTAATTAAGTTTTGTATTTACAGGCCACAGCAGAAGCTAACAATTTAACGGCTGTAGCCGAAGCTAAAGATTTATATCTTCAGATGATGGAAAATGTGTGCGGTGGTGCAAAACCATTTATGGCGACTGCGCACTTGGAATCTGAACATCAGCATTGTATGACCTCAGCTCTTCGTCAGTTTCAAAATAAACGAAAAATGGGTGGAGAAGAGTTCAGTCAAATATATATGGAAAAATTGATTAAGGCAAGTGTACATAGTCAATTAGTTGTTGTAATTTTTTCTATTTGTAACTTAATTTATCGTTTTTCTCTTGAATGTTTATTTTGTGACGAAATATTACAGGACATGGATGATGCTTTCAATCAGTTCAAGGCGCACAACGAGAGCAAGAATATCTTTAAAGCAGCGCGGACGCCTGCAGTGTTTTTCGCTATTGCTGTCACTATGTATATTTTGTCCGGAATATTTGGTCTTGTTGGTTTATACACGATAGCGAATGTATGCAACCTTATAATGGGTGTCGGCCTCCTCACGCTTGTCTTATGGGCGTATATAAGGTACACTAAATTGTAATATACATACAACTCTCTATTATTGTGCACCATTTCTGACTATCACATTTTGTATGGATATTATTTAGGTATAGCGGAGAATTCAGAGAAATTGGCACGCAAATAGACGATTTAGCCAGTAAAATATGGGAAAATGTAAGTATGAAAATCTTCGAAGTTAATTATCGAAGTTTCATTATCTTTCTTGTATGCTTATTCCAATTTTCATTGTATTGATAAAACTTTTCTGATAAAAATTTATATATTATATATTGTTATTATATTGTTCACAGTCTACTAATGAAAAACGATATTTCAGAAAGGTAGAGATTTTTCTACTCACTTATTAATTTTATGAATATAGAATGTTTTATATTTTTTTAAATTTAACTAATTTAGAGTACAGTTGAAAAATGCAGTTCATGACAAAAAAAAAGTTATAATTCTATAGTATAGTATAGGATATTTACAAAATATTTTTTTTAAATTTACACATACTAAAATCACATACGAAAATTTATATCTGTTTTATGTGTCACATTTAAGCAGCACTTATTAATTCACAATATGTGTATAATTTGTGTATTAACATGGATCATGTGATATTCATATTGCAATTAATATATAACCTTTCTTTATTGCAACAGGTCTGGCTATGCGCTCATCTTTGTTATAAATTAACGTATAACTTAAGATACCTGATCCTGTCCATTATTGTAATTGTATTTGCAATACCTATATGTCATTTTACTTATCGTGATCTCCGCAGACACGGTTACATCTGATCCTACGCTTTTCTTCTTTTCTAATTTCAATACTTACAAATGATTTTAATTTTATATTGCTTCTCAACACTGTTTACGTTTCTTACACATCTGTGTTTCACAAACTTGTTTCTTGTTAATCAGAGTCGTTTAATGGTACAAACGTAACTATCAATATCATTCATTTATTGTTATTTTTTTATTCCTATCATAAGCTGAGTGCTAACAGGAGCAAATATCGAAAAGGTATGGCATTTGGCTGCATATATAACCAGATATTTTATAACTATTAAGATTGCCCACTTTCCTGTTCAAATATTACAACCACGATTGCTCGATCAGAAACTGTACTGCTTCTGTGTAACTATTTCTTTTCTGTGTCGCATTAAATTCTACAAAGTAAATGGCTGCATTTTAATGCAAAAAAATAATTAAAAATTTCGAAATTTTAAGGGAGAAAAACATACAATCTCAGCTGCGTAATATCGCATATTATAATTGTTGTGTAATTATGTAGTAATAATGCAAAGAAATTATTTTTACTTTTGTTCAGTTCATGAAGCCACTCTACCAACAATTTGTGGAGAAGTCAATGTCTGTAGCAGTGGCGCAGGCTGCTGAAATCGCAACAAATTCAACATTGAACGCCACTGTCCTTGCCAATGGCAAGCCTAAATTATCGTAATATTTATTTCTATAATGTCTTGATTGTTTAAATGCTCGAAGCATTGTATAATTATGTGTTAACGTGAATAAGTGGCATAAACAAATTTTATATGTTGTCTTCTGACATACCGCCATGAATAGATTTCTTTCTAAATCAGTTTAATAATGGATTGAGTGTACTAATTTGAAGTGACTGTGAATGTACATACGATACAACGTATTTTAATTCAACAAAACAGCGTTAGATTGATGGAAATCATATAACTAGCATTGCCTAGTATATCCTTGATATAATGTTGTTATAAAAATAAAATCTTGTACTGGTGAAAGATATTATTATTGTAGTTTAATCTGAAAGTTTTATCACGGGGATGTTAATATATATTTGAAGTTATTATAAATTAGTAAAAAATAGAAAAGTGCATTTGTGAAAACGTTATGAAACATGATGAAAATGGATCTAATAGTCCTTTTTTCCCTTTTTTTTATTAAAAGTGCATTTTGCAGTTAATTCTTTCTTTTTTTATAAGCAGGATTTTGTTTTCCACAGTGCTCTTAAAATTATGTTGCTTGTTATTTTATATATTATTTATATGCTTGGACTAACAAAGTTCAGATTTCGTTCGTGCCAGAAACGTTCTACATCAATTCTACTGAGCTATTGTTTAATAAAAAGAAAAGAATGTACATACAGCATGATGTTATCCACATTCTATAGTTTGAAAAAGTGATAAAAATACTTATTTAAATTATAAATGAGATATCACGCGCCATATTGCTGTAATATATAATCTTATTAAATGCAATATCTTTCAAAGTTGTCCGTCATATTGATCTACTTAAGAGTAAGATAAATCTTATTGCCAGCACACTGTTAATAGTGCTCAATTTTGCGTCGTAGATATATTGGACTCCGTTTCCTATTATTGCTCATTGAATAAAAATTACAGATCTCTTGTATATTACTGTTTTAAATTTATATATTAGATTTATAATATATTACATTTATCTAAAAGTAATTTACAAGTTACGTGTATTCTATAAAAAATTAGACTCTTTTGTACTGCATAAACATTATTCAGTGAGTAATATTGTCGATAAATTCTGACGTATACATGTATTGAAACTATCAAATCTTGCCAAGCAATTTCTAATATACTTTATATTTGGTCTAAACACACTTGATAGTGTTTATCTTTGTTTATAATCTGCACAGAATTCTTATTTTTAAATACATGAAATTCATTAACAAATTGTACTATTAGATTTAAAAAATTTTATTGTAGAAGTAGTGATTATTACGGATTATTTAATATATCGTGTACGTTATTTTTGAAAATATATAACTAATGTCAAAGAGACACGTACTTCACACCTTTTCTAACAATGCAAAAATAAAAAATGTACTTGATGGCAATTTTAGTAACATTGTAATTTAAGTTTTTGATACCTTGAAATACTTACTTTCTAAAGGCATATGTAAAAAAATGGACTCATTTTATGTACAAAAATATAGTTGATATAGCCGTGATATAGCCAATATTTGAAAAGTTATTGATTTTTTTCAGAATCAACTATTTTTGTAGTTTTATTAATATATGTAAACACACATTGTTCTATAAACAGGCAGCTTGAAAATTTTTTATCAATACATTTGTTTGGCTGAAATACAAGTGAGTAAGAAATTTTATATTATTAATTTAGTATTTATCTCATTATGCTTTGTAAAGGATGGGAGTAGAATTTAGTAGAAATGCATCATTATAAAGGTGCCATTAAATTTAACTTTGGATTAAGATTTTGTGAGTCAAGTGTGTCTTGCACTAAGTTTATTTACTAATCTTTCAGAACTTTTAAAATTTTATTTATAAGTAAGTTCAGAAGTCATATAGAAATAAATAAATTTAGCGTGCAAATATATGTTAATAGAAATTTCTATATAAATTTAACAGCTGCAATTAATATTTAAATTGCAACACTTTAGTATATCATACTTTAAATAAAGAAGTGCATGTACATAACATGAATTATCATTAAACCGCAATTTTCAAAGAACAATTATTGTTATTTAGAAACTAATATAAATGGCAGTCATATAATCATATTGTTCAAATTATTTAGAAGCCGATAATTATATGAAAGAAACTTGTAATAACTTACATAGTTGTGATGTATAATTAGAAACATATAAACATGACATTATTGAATATAATTTATAGTTGCGGTTATTGATAAAGTTACCTGAATTAAAAATTTTGCATCATAGCTTGTTTAGGATGCATTATACACTTACTGCACACACAGTTCTATCCTTCAACCATCCGTTTTATACTAATATTGTAATAAAAATAATATGAAATAAATGTAATATATATATACTGACATCCTTAATTATAATAGTCAAACACTGTAATGACTTTTTTAGTTTGATGTTATTAGTTTTTTTAAGAAATAAAAACATGAGTACATATTATCAATATGTTAAGATAATTGTAGCGCAAGTTATCATGGTTAGAAATAAAGTGTATATTTTTCTATTTATAAAATAAATGTACTTTATTTCTTAAAATTAGTAAAGATAAATATATATTTGCAGTAATATTTAAAATTGACTAATTAAGTTTTAAACATTCTTCTTACTATATCGTTACTTTTCTGAATAGATTCCTGCAATTTGGTATTATACGTATCAAACAATGCTTTCACTACGTTATTATTAGGCTCTAAGGTATGTGCTACTTTCAAATCTGCCACAGCTTTTTCATTATTCTTCATATTCCCATATGCCACTCCTCTTCTATACAAAGCCTTAACATTATTCTTGTCCTTATCCAATATTTTGGTGCACAAAGTAACAACGTGTTCATAATTCTTTTGACTCAAATGACACATAGCCATATTATTATACAATGAAAATCTTAATTTATTAATATTAGATTCCAATTGCTTGTCTAATTCTAAGTCTGATATCGGTTCCAGTGTTATCAGAATTTTGCAAGCTCTGCTAAACTTGTAGAATGCATCTACGAATCTAGATTGCTTGAACAATTCAACACCTGTCTTTTTGTATCTCAAAGCTACTTCATACTTTTCCTCTACACTCCACTCCCAAATTGGTTTGTGACGTTCACATGTAATCAATGTAATCTCGAATTTAATCGTTATGATTTCACTATTAACTTCTGTCTGTTTTACAGGCATAGTAATGGTAACAAGACTCCTCTCATTGGTATTCATCATCTGGATCACTCTCTCAATCTTCCTATCGATTTCTGCACTCGCTTCACCAACGATCAATGTCTTTTCGCGTTCACCATCGAGAATCTCAGTATGATATTTTTCTTTTAAATTATCATTCAACGTTCCCATGACATTTATATTCTCCACAATGATGTTACACTTGGAGCATTCCGTTGGCTTCTTGGTGTACATTCCTAGAGTTAGCACGTTCTTTTTGATACTTTTGTCCATCGATTCCCATGATCGCAACATTGTGATACTAGATCAATTCTGTAAAATTGTGTATATTATTGATGAACTATTAAACAACAATTAAATATAATAAATGTATAACTTATATTAACGTAGCACGAATTTAACATGCAACTCACCAACTTTATTATTCCGATATATGCTCTTCGACCACCTTAGACACTCGATGTGAACAATAACATTGGAACCTAACCTAACCTAATCTAATGTAGGAATCTCACCGCAATCGCAAAAACCAAGATTAGAAAATGTTTTTACAAATGAGTCGTAAAATGTACGTGCAAAATTGAATAATAAGTACAAACATTTTAATAATTTTTACTGAATTATTAGATGATAATTATAGAAAGAAATATTATAAAATATTTAATCGAATTATAAGTATGTGTAATTCTAATTAAATGTAGAAATGTAAGGCAAAATTTGCATTGATTTTTATTTTTATTACCTTTTTTTCATAGAATGTTTCTATGTAATTGTTTAACATTATTTTAATATTTTGCGAACGACTCTAATTATACTAATTACACTGATCAGATTTATCTAATTAGTTCAGGGTAAAAAAATCACGTTTCAAAACTCGAAGCGATAACTTACATACAAAGTATTATTAAACATAATGTCCGGTCTCTTTAAAAATCAGGGCTAGGTAATTCTGGCCTATTAAATGCATTTCCTGCTCACAAATCTATTTCAGTGTTGCTCTCGTAGAGCACACATCGCGTTGGTATAGTTATAGTAACAACATCGAACTTACAATTAGTAGAAAATTATTTCAAGTGGAAAAACGTAAACAATGAATTCATACGACGAGTTTTTCAATATTTTGCAGTTCAATCCCTTATCTGATTCTTACTGGCCTTACCTGATCAGTTTATGTATTGGATTAATTACTGTTATAAGGTAACTTAATTATGATATTAATATAACTTACTATATTAATAAAAAAATAAAATAGAATAAGAACGCAGAAATATAGCACTCTTAATTTTTTAGAATGTACATGGGTGGTCCTATGTGTTTGAGCGATGATCATATTGATGACAAGCTCGTAATTATCACGGGCGCATCTAGTGGAATGGGCAAAGAAATCGCTTTAGAATTAGCTCGCAGAGGTGGTCACATTATTTTGGCTGTTAGAGATATGGAAGCTGGAGAAAAAGTAGCACAACAAATTCGAGATGTTTCAGGAAGAGATGTAGAAGTTAGAGCGATCGATCTTTCCTCATTGAAGAGTGTACAAAATTTTGTCGACCAGTTGGGTATATTATTTAAATATTTAACAATAAGTATTAATTGTATATGAAGTGAATATAATGTAATATTCTTCACGTTGCTAAATTATACAGATACGAGGAAAGTGGATATATTAGTAAATAATGCCGGAATTGTTTTCCATCCATTTGAAAAAACGACAGAAGGATTTGAGATGCATTTTGTAACAAATTATCTGGGTAAGTAATTAAGTAAGCTTACGTAGCATCTAGTATTAATTGAAAGATATTTAAGCCACTTAGAAGCCAAACTGATTACCTGTACTTTTTGCAATTTTTCCAATTTTAGTATTTTTTAGTATGTTATTCAACATTAATATATACATTTGTGTGAGTAAGTAAACTATTCTAAAATATTACATAATTCCATTTCAGGTCACTTCTTACTTACCCATTTGCTATTACCTAAATTACATGCAGCTGAACAAGGCAGGATAATAAATCTTTCTTCACAAGCACATACAATTGGTACTATGCATTTGCAGGACTTGAATTTGGAAGAAAACTTTACCGCAAGAGAAGCTTTTGGCCAAAGCAAATTGGCATTAATTTTAATGGCCAGACATATGAGCAGACTACTGAAAGGTAATGTTAAATGCATAATTGTCACATGATGGAATAATAATAATTTCTTTAACCGCAGATACAGATGTCACAATTAACGCTGTAAATCCTGGTATTGTGAGAGGCACAAGGCACATGCGATATTCACCGTTAAATTCAGCATTTTTAATTAAGCTAATAATGCGACCATGGATGTGGTTATTTTTGAAGAATGCCGTTCAAGGTGCCCAAACTGCTGTCTATGCAGCAGTGGCTAAAGAATTAAGCAAGCATTCCGGAAAATATTTCAGGTAACTTCACGTATTGTAAAATATGCAATTGAAGATAAAATTATTTTGCATTATTTATTTTTACAGCGATTGCGAAATGCGAACACCGTCAGTTAACGCCGTCGACGATGTAGTGGCCGAAAAATTATATAGTAAATCTCTTGCATTAGTAAAATCTTATATGCGCAAATCTTATATTAATCATGAAGGATGATTATGAGATGTCTTATTTCTTATTTATATATGTCTTATTTATAGATGTCTTATTTATTATATATTCTTCCCGAAGTTTGTGAAAAAAATTTCACAAATTTAAGCATTGATTACTTCCAAAATATTATTATAAAAACAAGTTTTAATAAACAACTATACAATTTTATTAGAAACTTAATTATGTAATATTTAATTTTGACCATTTTTCACTGACTTTCCATAACCACTTTGCCAGATCATCATTCTTAGCGTCGTTAGATACATCCTCAATTTTGCAATTGCTATAACAAATAAAACAATAATGTTAAATGTTATATATGTTCAATGTTTATTATTTGTCAAGTTCTTAGTGACACTTACTCAAAATAACAGCCAGAAACATCTGTAAGACTGGGATCTAATGCCGCATACAAAACAGTTTGTGCTCCTTGTGCAGGAGCTTTAATGAATGGCCAAGCAAATGGTTTCAGGAATATTCGTGTGAAGAAGTTGTTATACATACGTATATGTCGCGTAATTTCCGTGTCAACTATACCAGGATGGACAGCATTTACCGTAACACCAGTTCCTGAATAATACAAAAGTGAGAAATATATTATAGCAACTATTGTAAAAACGATTAATTATCCAATTATTTAATTACCTTTTAATCTGTTTGCTAGTTCTCTGGTAAAAAGAACATTAGCTAATTTACTCTGAGCATAAGCTTTTCCAGCATCATAATCTTTATCCCAATTTAAATTCTTTGTGTCTACTTGACCTGTACGATGAGCGGAACTTGACAAATTTACAATTCTCGATGGTGCAGATGCTTTCAAGACATCCAAAAGCAAATTTGTAAGCAAGAAGTGTCCGATATGATTTACTCCAAATTGCATTTCGATACCTTCCTTTGTATAAGTCTTTGGACATCTCATTACACCGGCATTATTGATAAGTACATGAAGTTTATCATATTCTATTATACAAATGGAGATAAATATTGATATTAATTAAAAGATAGAATTTATAGTATTAGTATATCTAAAAATCAATTACCTTTCTTAAATTGCTCTACAAATTTCCTTATACTTTCTTGGGATGATAAATCACACTTCCTACAGTAGATATATTTATTCTTTGTTTCAAGTACGATATTTCGACGTGTCTGTACAAGAAGAAAATTATAATATATAATTGTTATATGTAAAGTAGTAATTTTTACCTAGTAATAACAATAATATAAAAAAATTAACTGCTTTACTTTAATGACAAAATTTCTTAGAATATAACTTTGTATTTTAAATTACGTTATACATTTAAAATATACTAATAATTATATAAATACCATTTCACATTTTTCCATATCCCTGCATGCCATAATAACTTTTGCATCACGGTTCGCTAAGTCTTCAGTTATTTCCTTTCCAATACCGGTATTGGCTCCTGTCACAATAAAAATCTTGCCAGCCAGATTCTCTTTTCCTTCATACTTTGTGCCTCCCATATAATCTCTGCAATGTTTGTATAATTGTTTTTATGATTTACGCCACAAAGATAATAAAAAATCTAATTACAAATATATTTTGACTATGATATTTTTACGCATTGAAAATTACAAAATTGAATGTAAGATTACAAAAGAATAATTATGTGTGATTAGGACTTTCAAATAATATTACTTTGTCAAACATGACACGCCAACAGCAGTCGCCGCCACAGAAACGTAAAAAAAAGGTTTCGGAATTTTCCAACGCATTTTTACAAATTGATTTTCGAAATGCAGCTACAAATAAGTGCAGCTACAATAACCTAGATTATGAACGAAGAATCTAACCTCACAACTTTCGAAGCGGTACGTATGGCATGTCACATGTTGGTATGTTCTGAAACGGATCAATTCTATTACTTTATTGATACTTCCACGCATTTTGACATTTCCAGACACATGTGCATAAAAAGAGTAAGTTATTTTTTTTTTACTTAAAAGAATTCCATTTTTTGTTTATTTTATATTGCTTTTTCTATACAAAATATTGTCTGTAGGAGAGGTTATTAGAATACTTTTTATAGAAAAAGAGAAATTGTTTTAAAAAAGAGAAATTATTCAACAGATATATCATATTCTTTGATTAATTTAAAATCAGAAATACATATTTTTATTATAGATTTTTGTTTGTATTGTCATTTTTTTACTTGCAATCTGTAAGTATATCTCTACAAGCATACATTGTTGAAATCAAGAAATTTTATCAACACAGATATGAAAACTTAGACAATAGATTTGCTCCATTGATAGAAATTTATATAAATGAAATAAACGTTATTAATTTATTTCAATTTCTAAATTAAACATTCTCGGATTGAATATATTGTTTTAAGCAATCATTAATTAACTATTGGTTAAAATATCAAAAATAATATTTTTATTTACTTTTTTACCTTTTATTTAATTGTTTAATCTTTCATACATAATATTAAATATTTCAAAAATTAATCACAATTCTGCGGCATACCCATCATATAAATACATACATATATCAATATTTGCATGATATTTTCAACCCAAAAATTCAATTTATTCCACAGATAAGTATTGACAGTATTTATTCTGTTACACATTATGAAAGAATGACCTCAATCTACATGGCTATTAGGGTGAAACTAAAGTGAAAGCAAGAAGTAGAAATTTCTTAAAAGATGATATTCAATAGTACATACATGCAAGAATATTTTTCTATTATCTTGTTAGGAACCTTTATATTTTAGACGTAAATGTATTTATTAATCTGATATATAATGCAAAGAGAGAAATAATATGTAGGTATACATTATATTATATAAATGAACATATTATATATATAAATGTATGGTGTACGTATCTACTCATAGTTTATCAATTAATCTGTCGAGAATTTATATTACATTTGTAATAAATATTTTTTAGCAAATCAAATAAATTATCACGATTAAATTGATAAAAACATAAAACTCTTTGCTTTTTCTTAAGTAAATCTTTGCAAAATGCAATTAATACAAAGCAAAATATATCTGTTTTGAATTAGTCTAATTAATTTGTTTTCTTTGTTTGTGAACTATTACGATTGTCGTTTATCATTTGCAATAAAAGACGCACGAAGTATCTTATAACGATAATAACAATTATTGCGCAAAGTAGAAAAAATACGGCGATATCTAAGAGATATATTTGCCACCAGTACAAATCCATCGCCGGTGATCGCAAAGCATCACTGCCGTATTTAACGATGTATTTGATCCAATAATTAGCAGTATCAATAGCGCTCATCGGTCGATCAAGAAACTTTCGAGACAGATTTCGAGCAGTTTCACTGAAACACACAAAAAAATTACCATTACAATAGAACTAACAAATTTAAAGATCGAGTTATATTATTAAAAATGACAGAATGATAAGGATATGCACAAATATTAACAATTAAACATGCAATACGTATCACGATGTAAAATAATATGAAATAAAAATAACAAATTACGGAATGCACATAATAAATCACGCATTTACATCACATGTATAGACATGCTCTTTTTCAGATATCGCCCTATATTAATATATGAAAATAAAATTACTGTCCACCTACATATATATAGGATTCCAAAGGATCGCATTTAAAGCCTCATCCATGTCTTTTTCGGTCATCGTATGAAAGTCCAGTTTTATGGCAATGTTTTTTCCAACGAACATATCAATATTTATAAACTGATCACCAAAAAGTGGTATACCGATCATGGGCACACCGCATACTAATGCTTCTTGCATGCCCATTAATCCGCTATGAGTGATGAAGCCTTTTATATTAGGATGTTCTACGACATTAAATTTGTATTAGTGTAAAGAAAAAACAATTTACATATTTAAAATTTATATATGACAAACTTCACAATAAGAAAATATTAAGAAAAATATTTATATAAAGTTTATATATTTACCTTTTTAATTTCTACTAATGCGTTCGAAAAAAAAGTTTACGTCTCTTTATAAATAGATAGAAATAATAACGTACTTAACACTTTAATCTGCGGCATCCAAGGAGACGTGTAAATATTTTTAGGCAATCCGGGTGGCAATTTATCTGGACGTGGAACTTTCATTAAAACCCGTACAGGTGCTATTTTACTTAAAGAGGAGTAAAGTATATCCAGAAACTTGAGTGGAAATGTTTCAATCATCACCATCGAGCCAAAAGTTAAGTAAATAAAGCCGTCTCTACTTTCGTTCATCCACTTCTCCAAGCCTACAGAT